TTTTTGCTCTTGGAAAAAATCCTGAAGATGGTTTTGAAATATTACTTAACTTTTTTTCTTGTATCATGGGCTTCCTTCGGCAAATCAATGAAGCCTGCAGAACAATGTTGTCAGATAAATAAAATAAAATAAAATACATGGGTGAATAGCCAAAAAGTTGCAAAGAAGTATTGCCAGTAGATAAGCATTGCTGCTTATATTACTACTCTATCTCTGTTTTCATAATTCAACGAAAAGTGAAAATTTCAAAAAACAAATGGTAAAAATGATTTCCGCAGTTTTGCAAATTCATGTTCGTAGGCGTTTGACATAAAGACTCAGTAGATCAATCTTATGGATCCTCTTAGCAATACGTGGAGTAGAAACCTCTGCTTTAAGGCCCCTGAGAAATGCGATCAAACAAATGGCCTCAATTAGTAGCGTGTTGCTTTGGATATTTCTTCATAAGTTGTGTTGTATTAAAATTCCGTCCTTATAAACAAAAAAATAATTGCTTTTTTAAATGATAGTAATGAAAAGAAGTACAAAATATCTCATAAAAATTCGTTGGAAAAATGTATAACTGATGATTGCAAGGAACATCATCACATCACTTTTCGCTATAATATGTTTATGGTGCAATACTTATTTTCATTTATAACAAACAAAGTGGTGCTTTCCATTTTCGATTTTACTGATTCCAAATTTTGATAATTCCATTATAAAGTTTTTATGCATTGGTGTCTATTTAAGCGGCTTGATTAATGACTGGAAATGATGTAAAACTTAAATTTATTTAAATTATTTCTTGCTTAGTATTTGGATTGGATTTTCTAAATCCTTTGCAAAAAAAGTTTTCTAGTGCCTAAAAAATGATTATAAAGACTCAATAAATATTTTTGAAAAATTCAGAATTAAATGAATAATTAATGGACATGAAAAATTCGCAATTAATATAAGAGTACCAATATAATTTAGCTAGAAATTGATAGGTGAAAAATAAGGGAAATGAGAAAATGTTTGCAAATTCCTAAAATATTTCCATATGCATAGAAATCAACAAAAAATTGACATCCGTATTCAGCTGCGCATAAATGATGCGCTTTTTATCGCACAATTTATTCATGCATCGTTTCGCGCATATTGAGCAGATTGTCAATTTTCGTTGACTTTTCGTTCGCTTTTTTAGGGTAGAGAAATGTATAATTATTCTGATAACTGATTTTGAAAATTTTAAATTTACTCTTCTTTTACTCGAATATGTAAACGGAGTCTCTGCAACAACCATTCGGCTATCCTGCCCTGCATCACACAGAGAGACAGATAATACAGAAATAAAAAGCGGCGCTCGCTATTTTTCATTGGACTCGCTCACTCACTTGTTTGCTCGTCGAAATTTTTGCTAGAGACTCACCTTTAAATTAAACATACATCAGATTGTTATTTTTGAAAATATTCAACTCTTGGAATTAAAATAAATTTTCTCCAAAAGAACAATTTAAAACAGCAACTTTACTTAATTTGAGTCGAAAATAACGAACGAATGCCCATTAAAGTCGAACGTTCATTTAGGAAAACCACAAAAATTTTATTTTTGAAAAATTCAGAATTTGAATGAATCCGAACAACTTATAAAAGTAAAAGCGCAAATTTCAAATTTATTTTTTCAGAATTTTGAAAAAATGAGATTGCAGTGCAATGCCTTTTTCAACGGAATATATGAAAAAGAGGAGATCAATCAGAAACCCTTCGAAATCTGCGAAATTAATTTTGAAAGAGAAACGTGTGGGTCTCGAGAAAGTTCATTAAGATTGCTGCTGAGTTATCCTTAATGATGAAAGCTTTCGGAGAAGAAAAACTAGTGAATATTCGGATTCGCAACGAAAGATTGATGCTTAATGAAATTCCTTTAGATCGAAATGCTCCAAGTTGTTCTTTAATTGATTTTTTATTTAAATTAATTACTGTTATTTTTCTTTCTTCAACAACTTTCAACTGAGAATGGAAAAGCTTTGAATAAGGAACAATGAAAATGGATGAAAATGGAAGCCTCATTGTGCGTCCCTATATACGTTCACGACGACTGTGATTTCACCTAATTCACTCGAGTTCCACAAAAGTCAAATAAGCCATAATTCATTGCAAAATCGTCATCAGAGAAAATCAAGAGTTATGAAAATCAATAAAAGGAGAAGCAACTGTAATGACAAACGACATATATAATAATAATAGATACATAATAATTCATTATTTTTCGTGAAATTCCTTTGGTTCTATTTCCTTGCATGGTTCCCACGAAGAAAATGGAAAATCCGACAAATGAGAATGTACGTAGACCCATATTTGACCCATAGGACCACAGCTAGCACTCCGGAATAGGAAAAAACACCATCAATCTTTCCACTCGACCTCATATGGTAAATACCCGAATTGAAATAATTCTCATTCTTCTTATCAGCATTTTTAACTTAACTTGTCCCATTGACTAAAAGGAAGAAATCCTCGTCATCACAGAATCTCTTTCTCGCCAGAGTATAAAAAACTAGAAGCAAAACATAACTCAACCAATTAACCCCATCCCCCCCCCCCCCCCCCCCCCCCCCCCCCCGCTGCCTTCAAGCTATTTGGCTAATTTACAATCAAATATCAATTTACAAAAGCTTAATCGAATTAAATATTAAATCGATAAAACCCCTTGAAGATTTGCAGATTCATTACGAAGCATTTAAAAAATTTTTATAAATATTTATTGCATATTGCGTTCAAATTATTAACTCATTGGGGAAAGAAATGTCAATCTAAAATCGCATGCGATATCAATAATCGGAGAAAAACGACTTCTCGTGAAGCGAGTTTAGCGGCGATTGCAAATATCGAGAGAACGGAACATTTCCGTTTTGAAAATTCCCCTAAATTCCGCATTTTTTGAATGCTTATAAATCTTTCCATTACTATAAAAAATATGTTCTGTTCTTTACTTCCAGTTTCATGCAGGGTTTCCGAGATAAAGCATGCATGCATATCCAACTTCACTGCCACTCACTTTTTTGACATTTAAACATTTAAATAAACAAAGATAATACGTGCCTCCCTGTGTCTGAATTAAAAACAATAAACTATAATTTAGGCAATAAGAGCGCAAGGAAATGAAGTGAAATCTCCAAATCCTAAGTAAAACCCCAAACTAAATAAAATTATATAAAAAACATTTCAAAATTAGCCATACAAGTGGTTAATAAATAAGAGAAAAAATAATTTTCTATAATACAAAAATATAAAATGGAATCTTCAAGGGCTCAAATTGTTTCTAATGCTGACGATTTCTTCTGCGGACATCCGAAAGGCTTGGCCAAGTCTGCTATCGTGTCAAAGAGATGTTGCCTTTGCCTTTAACAAGTCTGCCGTCCGAGTGGTGCTGCGAACAACCTGCACTTATACCGCTAAGTGATTTCAAGAGTAGAACAAACTGAACGATAATAAAGTGAGATCAAAAAAAACCAATTAAATAGGTCTAAAGCCTAGCTGCAAGCAAAATATAATGCACTACTTATTAAAACAATCAAAAGCCAATCACATCCATCGACGAACCTTTTAAGTGTAATTTTTTCATCACCTATGACCAATATTCAGGACAAACGGTTGAATTCATAAAATGGTTGTTTTTGACAATTAAACGCACAAAAAGGAGATGAACGCCCTTGAAATTTTAATTTTTTGAACTCATCCTAATTTTTTATGAAACTTTTAAATTGATAAATTTCTAAATTTTTCGATTCCGCATTTTCTTTCTTTTTTTTTTTACCAATTTATTCTCATTTTTTCACGTTAATTTTCAGTGAGGAAATGTTTATATTGCTCTCTATGTTTTGAATTTGTTCGAACACTGAGGCACCATTATGGCGCAGTGGCTATGCCTCTGATTTGGAATGCTCGGTGATATGCACACGTTCGCAGATTTTAGCTAAATACGCATTTACTCAAACGATTAAATGCGGTGAATATCTGCGTAAATTAACGAGAATAACCACCAGTTGGTGACCTTAAAACAATCTCCAACTGACTAAGATTCCTCAAATATATTTTTTCGCCTTTCCTAAGGAAATAGAGAATATCGACAAAATGATTATGATAAGCGAAATAATTATGGAGTAAAAACCGATGAAAAATTGCTCATTTAAATTGTCTTTTTCCTAGCTTATCACCTACAATGACTAATAACATAATTGATATATGCAAATTAAATATCTTTTCGAAATTCAAGTAAAGCCATTAAAATCTTGAATAACAATCATTAATGAATCATTCATAAAAAATATCGCGAGTGCAGTACTTAAAAAAGATTTCATGGAGATCAAAGAAAAGGAATAATCTATAGCAAATTGATAGAAAGGATATGATACCAATAAAAAAAGAAATTTGTAAAACCATCTAAGGTCAAAATTCAAATAATAAAAATAACCAGTCATTTATCATAGCGTAATTTAATAATTTCACATCGAAATTAGGGCTATAGTTATACAATAAAGATTTTTATTTTAAACAAGCAAAATCATCACAAAAGGAAATATTACAATTTCCTTCGAAATCCACGCATTTCAGTACTAGATTAGATCCTATTCTTTTAAACTACTATCGTTATGTAAAATTTGCTTGTTTGCTATTTTTTCAATAGAAGATAGTTAGAATTCGTGCCTTAATTTGGTTTTATCAATGATTTCAGTGTCGCCAACAGCAAAATGTTCTGACTCTTCTTCACGATCGATACAATCCTAAAAACAAACCGGAAAAGCGTAAAAAGAACAACAAATGAATATATATATATATATATAAAATTTGCTATAAAGCTATAAAGTGCTAGAATTCTACTCGAGACAGGAATAAACATGTCATTTAAAATCTGTGACGCTGGCGAATCACTTGCATTTCTATCGCTACTCCTTAGTAAAATTTATCTGGTCCGAAAAGCCAGCGAAAGATGGAGCCTAACCAATAATGGTGAACGCACTTAGCAAAAAAAATCCTCATAAATTATGATTGGCAACCTGTAAAGCAGCGCAATAATGAAGCATTAACATAGCGAGCGCCTGGAGTCGATCATCGATAATATTAAATTCATCTCGCTTCTGAGGAGGGCTTTTTAAATTAGTTATTAATTTAAGGCGTTCGGCTGTTGTTTTATCAATTATTTTTTGAATCCTATCTATCTGTAATAATTTATTTTAAAAAAAAAGTTATAAAGAATAATAGAGCGAACCTTAAATGATTTAATTTCAACTGAATGAAAAAATTCAAATAGAACCTGTGAATTGATTTTTATCTTCCTCTCAGGCCAGTTTAAATCCAAGAAAAGACTTTTCCCAATATTTTTGGCTTCCTGGATCAAATTTTCATCATACGCATCGCCAGGTTGGAACATCATGTTAGAAAGACATGAGGGCACATCCAAATCAACCAAGACATCAGGAATCACATTCTTCAATAAAATGGAGCAAATATAAAAATCAGCATTAACTGAACTTTTTATTTCCACTGAGTTTCAATCATTTTAATTTTTATAATTCAATTGATTTCAATGAACATATACGTATTTAAAAAAGTATTTATGTTACCATATTACCGTACATTTGTTATAACAAAAGTAATTATGGATAAGAATAATTTAAATTTTATTTTTATTTCTGATGGTTAATTTTAAAGGTTTTTAATGAAAATTTATTGCTCGGTAATTAATAAAAATTATTTTTTGCAGAGTTTCAAAATATTAAAAAAATTTATTAAGGATGAAGGAACATAAAAGAAAACAATGGGGATTTAAAATAGTGCACACTACAACATAAAAAATTTTATAGTTTAAATTATTATAGTTTAAAATTAATAGTAGTTCACTTTCTCAGCTCATTTTCCGTTTCAATTTTTAATCACCATTGTTTTCAGCGAATGAGCCCTTGAATATGTAAATTTACTTATTATTACTTAATTGAACGGATATTTCTTCAACAAAAAAATCCCAGAAATACGAGAAAAAGTAAAAATAGCAAAACACAATGCTTCAATTCAATTTTTACACGAATGACATTAAGATTTTGACATAATGATATAAAGTAAATTTCGAAGAGACATAATATTTCAGCAATTAAAAAATTATTACCTTTACAAGCACTTTTCTATTTTCTACATTCACAGGTTGAGGGAAATCTGAAAATGAATAGAAATTACCTAAAAAGATGGATATTTTTGAATAACTACTATTTTGAAATCATAACTGAAAAGCATAAAGGGGTAAACCTTCAGATAATTCCATTTTATGTGAGTCTGAAATTTTTCGACGAGCCATTTTATTCCAAGTATTATTCCATTTTTCTGTTACCTTATTTGCAATTCTTCTTCTTCTCGTTTGAAGCAGTTCATCTTTTACTATATGAAAGATCGATAGATAATAAATAACGGAATTTTTTGGATATTTTTGAAAAAAAAGCTAACAAGAATTATTTTCCGCCAAGATGTTGGATGCCTGATCAGTAGTAGAGTTTAATGAACCGAGCTCTTTTTCAGTTAGATCATTACCATTTGCTACATCACCACTAAATTTCTTTTCGGATTTTATCATACCACAGTTGTCCAATACCTTAATAAAAATATATCCAGAAATGAAGAATCTCCAGAAAATTCAGAAAAGCCGTCTGTAAGACAGATTAAGAAGTGAAAGATAATAACTTCAAAAGTATCATCCTCAAAATGATCGCAAGGATCACATATCAATAACTTGAAATTTTTTACAGTACATTTGTTATGGCAAACCAACAAGCAGCGAGAACATCGCGATGCATTTTTAAACCATATTTTGCCGTTGCACACTCCACATATAGTCGCTTCTGAAAAAAAGAAAATCGTTCTCGACAAAAAAGAAAAATGAGAAAGAAAAATGAATTTTTCATTAATATTAATTAATAATAATATCTAAGTCTTTTCTATTCGCTTTTGATATTTTACTGATATTTTTGTTTTTGTTCAATGAAAAGATGGTTAATAAAAAATTGAAAGTGCATTAGAAAGGGAAAAAAACCAAACGTTTACTTTTAAGTATAAAATTTTCAAAGTGATGATTAATTCGCAGATGATCCACTGTTGAAGAAGAAGGGAAATGATTATCAAAATAACCATCATTATTGGATATGATATGCGAATTTAAAGTTAAAGCACTGAAAAATTTTGCCAAAATTTTGAAACAATTTTTAACAGAAAAAATCAATTATTGAAAAATTGTAAATTGACTTGTTAAAACGTATAAAATTAATATTATAACAAAAAAATTATATTAGTACTTGTCTATTTGAGTTGCTTCCGTTTCTTTTGGTAAACCGCTGGGAAAATATCTGAAACCAATCAGTATATCACCGTAACATATACGAGAATCAAAGCCAGCATGTCGACTAGCTTCCTCTATCAATGGAGAAATTGGCCTTCTAAATGAAAAATGTAAACACATTTCTATATTTTTTAAAAGCACTAGTAACTAATATAATCGTTAATCCAAGGATAACTCTTTATCCATTTTCGATGCGTCGTACTTTACTAGTACTAGTCAAATCATATAATCAGCGGAAAAATCCATTTACCGCGACTCTAGCTTTAGTAAATGAATAAAAAATCTCACAATAATGAACACTGATGAACACTGTCCAACTATGGGCAAATTTCGCTAAAATTGTTCGCTTAAAAAATTCAAAAATCTGTACAAAAATGAAAGTTAAAAGTAGCCAAATTAAGTTAAATATTTTAAACGAACTTGCTAGTAGGATTTTCTGGAGGTTTTAGTGAATAAATTTCCCGATGGCAATTCGACAACGTTAATCGGCAATCATCTAATATTTGCGGCACGTAAATACTCGTCTGAATTGATATAAAAAATAATAGATGAATATTTTCAAGACCAACTAATAATTTTATTTTTTTATCTCCTTAATTTTAATTAAATTTTTTGAGCAAAATAAATTTCTGGCTAAAATTTCGAACAGATCACTTAAAAATTAAAATTACTATTAAAACAAACATATCCCAGCATATTTGATTTCGATGTTTTATCACCATTTCTTGAATCAGTATGACCAGATTCGATATCAAATTCAGCAAAAATACTTATATTTAAATATCTGTCTTTCGAATCTAATTCAAAATGAAGCGACTGCCCCCAAAGAATATTCTGAATAGTGTGAATTCAATTTTATATTTCTCGAATATAATAGCTGTATAATATATTTCCATTCGGAATTTAAACCTCAAAGAGGAATTAAATGGAAAAACTTTCAATCACGGATAATAAAAGATAGAACAGTAATTAAAATACAAATAGTATAAATTTTTTTTTATGAAGAAAATATTTCTTTAAACAAACGAGAAATTTAATTCATAATATATTTGTTTTATTGTTAAGCAATTTTGAGATTTGGTATTCAACTGAAACTTAACCTCACTTAACTGCAGCGACTTGGTACGTAAAGTTTTGGTTCCAAAACATTGTTTATTGCATAAATTAGAATCATCTTCAGATGGAAAAGATTTGGTATTATCCCTAAAAGGCAAAATTTTCTGCAACAAATTTATTGAAATATTTATTGGTTATTACAAAATTTAAGGAATGGAAGCGGTTAATTTCTTGTTTTTGGTTTAAATTATTGTTTGTCTTTAATTTCAGTTTTTGTATCTAAAAAAACTACTCAGGGAGAACGAATGAAGAAAGCCGGAAAAAATATCAAAGTATATACATTGGAATGTCGAGTCTCACGGATAGCTAAACTATATATAGAATGAAATTAAATGAATAACGATTAATAATAATGATATGATTACCAAAAATGAAGAAAGCAAATTGGATGTTTGAACAAAACGTCGAAATATATAAAAAGAGGAAAGAATGATAAGAAAGAGAAAAATTTCACAAAGAAACCTGATAAATAATTTCAAAGTCGTTAGAAGATACACGAAACTTTATAAAACAGGACGCAACAAGCTTATAATACTTGCAACGGAATCGAATATGGAAAAATAAGAAAAATTCAAAAGATGATTTCTGAATTCCGAATTCTAAAAGGAATTCGTCGAACTGGTTGGTAAAAAACACTAATGACAGATGCAAGCATTCAAAAAATATCAAAAAAAGATAAACAGATGGAAGAAATATAAAAAAATATTACACATGAAAATGTTAAAATCTAAGACCATCCCTAGATGATATCCCTTGCTCAGACAAATCTTTAGTATCTCTAGAAGATGAAATTGGCATTATAGTTTTTATCAAAGCTTCTATTGAGTTAATGGAATACCCACTGGAATTTGGCAAGTAATAGAAGAAAACTCAGTCAAAATTCTAATTAGGCTATGCCAGCAAATCTAGAGAAGAGCAAATCGATTGGAAATGATCAATCCACATTCCAGGACCAAAAAGGAAAATAAGGAAACTACTGCGCCATTTCTAATAACAAAATATTATAATATTGGGTCATCCAACAAAGATTAGACTCCTGCATCGAGAAAAATTTAACGTCGAAGAACATTAGACATTATTGCTGATATATACTGGATAATTGAAAAAGCTAAATAATGCTAAAAAGAAGCCAATATATATGCTTCATTATAGAAAAATAATTATAAATCATTATGGTTAGGAAAATCTTTGATTGCGTTGGTCATCTCAAGTTATAGAATGTACTCAAAATATACCCAAATAGGAACACCTAATTGCCCTGATTAAAACTTATATACAGGTCAGAAAGCCACAGTAAAAGTTGACAAAAGTTGATAAAAGAGTGCGGCAAAAATGCTTATTCCCTCTTTATTTACACAAATTCTATGTAGAATATATATTAAAAGAGGACGGCTTACAAGAGCTCGAGCTTGATTTTAAAACTAAACAGAGAAAGAAAACTAATAACCTGCTGTTGACATCTGTCCACCGAGAATATAAAGAATCTCCGATTTTCGATTCAAAAATCAAATAGCACAGCGAAAAAAATGAGATGAAAAGTTAAATATAAAGAAGACTAAAGTAATTCTGAAAACAGGTTGTATAACCACTTTTAGAATTGACAATCAATATATCGAAGTGGTTTTTAGCTTTTGCTTTTTAGGTCAATAATAAAAGTACAAGTTGTCAAAAAAAATACGCCATAGAATAACACTGGAAAGAGCAGCTACGAAGGCTTTAGAAAAGATATTCAAATATATTGAAGTGATTATGCCATTAAAATTATGCAAGCCATGGTATCCCCAGTGCCTTTCTATGAATAAATTTTTAGGAAAAGTATCGAAGCTTTTAAATTGCGATATTGGGAAAGACTCCTGAGAATACCATGAACAACTACGAAAACAAATCATGTTGGATCACTGCCGCAAATAACCTAATATTATCCTATTTTGGAAATCCTATGCAGCTTTTTGGAAGAGTAGTAACTGGAAATAGTTTTTCTTTTAAGAGTAGACACCATTACTGGTTAGGCTAGCCCCTTTTCGCACTAAATAAATGCCGGGGAATCCCTCGGCGACAAAGCTGAATAGCCACCAACTGAGAATAGTGCTAGGAAAAAAAAAAGGAGAATAAGGAGAATAATGATGAGGATAGATCCAATTAAACGCAATAAATGAGCACCTCTCTAATAGTCCTGAGAAGCAGAGACAGATTATGCTCTATCTATATGGATGCTCTATCTATATAGAATCCAAAACGATTTCACGGCACCTCACCATCACCATCATCGCTTAAATCATGAAGTCTTACTTTTCTTTATCTGATGAATAAATCTGTTCGGATTTGCATGACCATCGTTCTTTACTGTCTGGTGGTGAAGGAGATCTGGATATATATTGCTGCTAAAACATTATGAAATATATTGAATCAGAAAAAAGAAAAAATGAAAATTGCAATTTGCATTTTTTGCATTAGTGCATTTTTTTTACAAAGATCGTATAGGAAAAAACACCTCTAGCACCTTACAAACTGAAATTATTATAACAAAAATTTAAATAAAAAATTAAAAGTAAAAAATTTTAAAAAATGAAATTACAGTTGTTGCAAGTAGAATAAATAAGTGCACCAATGGCTTTCGAATTTTGAGTCTAAATCGACCGACGTATTATCTGGTGGCAATCTCGCCTAAGCAAAAGAAAGCAAAAGAAAAAAAAAATGGATCAGAGACTGTTGTTCAATTCATAGTGCTGATGCCGAGTCTTACACTCCCGACAAGAGTGTTTTTCAAGAATCAGTGATTTCACCTGTATTTCTATGGCCAAGGAATTCTCTGGATTATCTCTTTTGCTTTATCTATAGTCCGACAAGCGGAAGAGTCTAACCAATAATGGTCAGTATCACTTGAAAAAAAATATAATAGAATATATACTCATAATACCATTATTAATTCTTCAGTTGCATCGAATGCGACTTCTACTTCCGACAAATTATCCTTCCGTCGATACCAAAAATTGGACATTTTCGCTTTACTTGCAGCAGCTACCTCAGCTGCTCTCATCTGAACAGAATGTTTTAAAATTTTTTTAAAATTGAATTGAATTTAAAATTGAAAAGTGAAGCAAAACATTAACCATTAATCGTAAACAAAATATTTTTTAAGGCAACGGGAACTTTTTTAAGATCAAATCGAAAAATCTCAACAAAAAAGTAAAAATGAAAATTCAACAACATCATCTAACATCTCCCACCATTGCTGGTTAGGTTTGTTTCATTGACTAAAAGAAGACGCTTCCAAGCTGTTCGATCTGATGCTGTCGTCAGCAGCAATACAAACCATTTTTTTTTCCATCGACTAAATCCATATTTGGTCCACCTAAACGTTCAAAATCTTTCCTAACCGTATCAATCCAGATCTCGATTGGCTCTCGCTTTTAACACCACCCAACACATGGTTTAGCAAAGAACGAAATATGCGTCAACTCCTGCGGTGGACGACGGAGAACATGCCTGAACCAGCGAAGGCGATAATGTGTGATAACATTATTTATGCAAGTAGTATTTGAACAAGGTGGATGCGATCATGTGATATCTTATCCGCTCGACGAATCCATAATATGCACCTTATTAGACAAGAGTGGTCTAAGGCAGATAATATTCTTAATATCCTCCACTCTCATTGGTCATGTCTCAGAACCATATAGCAAGATCGAACGGATCACGGCTATATAGATGCGAACCTTCATTTTTATGGTGATTTCATGACGACCCCATAAAGGTTTCGTTAACCGAAAAAACGCATTGCAACCTGCCGTGATCCGAGTTGTAATATTATCTTTTGCCAGTCCATTTGGTATAAGAGTGGATGCAAGGTCTTTAAAATCAGGCATTTCCTCAACCGGCAATGAATTTACAAAAAGAGGCATTTTATCAGCTTCTTGCACATAAGACGAAAAAACTTTCGTTTTATTTACATTGACCCTTAGTCTGATTCTCGCTGCAGTTGCTGACACGTTATTTAGCATTATTTGCATTTCATCATAGATGTCAGCAAAAACGACTACATCATTAGCGTATTATTTAAGATCTGTGATACGATGCTCTTGACTGATTTGTACACCTATTGAGAGTTCCGACAAACGTTTTCCATTATCCAGTATAGTTGAGTATTGTAAGGGAAAGGACATAACCTTGACGAACAGCAGTTCTTATTTAGAAGGATTCTGTCAGTGCCCCCATATATACAGACCTGCGCCAACGTTGATAAAATGTTTATGAATCGAATGATCTCTCACCGTCGCATTCCATCACCTTCCAAAGCGCTCTATCAATTGAATTAAAGGCAACCGTAAAGTCGATGAAACACGTGATAGCGGGTTGCAAATATCTGAAGTGATGTTCCAACACCCTTCTTAACGTGAATATCTGGTCAGCACAACAGCGCCCCGGTCTGAATTCAGCTTGATTAGGGCGCATCATGCTGTCTCGTACTTCCATAAGTCTATTGAGTAAAAGGGAAGCAAAAATTTTCGGTGAGACGTCTAGTAGGCTGATTCCTCGATAATTGTTGCAGTATGTCCTATCATCTTTCTTGAAAATTTGGAATAGAACTGCTTTGTTCCGATCATCTGGTAATATTTATTTTTTCCATAACAAAGAGAAACATTTGTTGAAGGTGCGTTATGAAAGACGATGGACAACATCTGAAAAGCTCAGCTCGAAGACCATTTTCTCCTGGAATTTTATTAGCCTTAAGCTTATGGATTAATGGAGATTATTTTTTCTTCTATTGGCGCCTCGCAATTGCAAACGTATGGTTCGTCGAACGTATGTCCAGGTCAACAGATGGCGCATCATGGTTAAGTTTGCCCTCAAAGAATTCTTCCATCTTATGAGGCGATTCTTAATATTCTTAACAGGCAGACCACTGCTTACCATTTCACTGATCGTTCCCCGAGTTATAGTTGCTTTATGAAGAAGGCGGAATAGTTTCCTATTATCGCCTAATGGAGCTGCCGCCTCCATTCTCAAGGCTATGTCACACCAATATTGATTTCTATCCGCAATGTTGCTGTCGTTGCAATTCTTCGAAGCATTCTGTAGCCAGAATCTCATGTTCATGCTTTGGCAGCGTTTTCAGATAGTTGGACAATTGTTTCCGATACCCAACTAGCCCACTTCCTACTAGTATACCCTAGTTTAGAAATGGCTGACATTCAGAGACATTCCTTTAGTTGGGATCTATATTCATTTGCCGTTTATTAATATTAATACGATTGAGATGTTTCAATAATTCGGTTGCACCCAATGCTCCCGAATTTTTGAGACAATTGAAGGATCTTGAGGAATGCTGCTTTTACGAGTTGTCAATTTTATGTAGATTTTAGCTCAGACCATAGCATGGTCAGATCCATGAAAACTGCCCGCTTCGGCGTCGCGATAGGAATGATTATTTACTACGGAATTCTTCCAATTGTTAGCATTAACAAAAAGTTCATGCCTTTCGTTATAACGAAGAAGGCGCTTTCCATTACGCACCCGTCTAAGATGCCTCATTTGCCAAATGTCGAAATCATCGCAGCGGTATTATGACTTAATGCGCGCATTACAATTATGACCATATCAATTTCGATAGAGATTTTGTTAATAGTTGAAGTTCCGTTGAAGTTGAAGAAATGTTAAAGAACTTTACATGATCATCTACTGATAAAGTTGGAGCACAGACACTAATGACCGAGATACCGCAGAACTTACCTTTAAAGCAGGCATATGCCATATGGTCGCTTACCGGTTTCCACTCAATCAAAATGGAATGGGCCTTGTCAGACATGATAATCGTTACGCCATTTCACTCGAGTTACTCGAGATACTCGAGTCAGTGATATAGCCAGTAACTCTTCTCAAGCCACGATTAGTAATTATTCAAGGTGAGGAAGACCTTCGACAAGTAGGCGATGTCCATACGATATTTAGAAAAAGTGTGGATAGTGATGGTTTGGCTTGGCTTGCTTGGCTTTATAAGCTTTCTGACGTTCCACGCTGATACGGCCCCTCGCTGAACACCTCGCTGCTTGTGCAGAGAGCTGTTCCCCTTGATAGCTTCCGAGCAATTGTCCTAACTTGCAATCATATTTTATTTTATTTATGAATATTGAGATCGTTTTACGCCCGGATATATACTTATCGCATGTACCACCAGACTGGGAATATCATGTGCATCGAAAGACAAGGAAGCCGTATCAAGAATATTTGACCCACAAAATTACTTGGGGATAAGATTACAGACGGGTCACCAAACCACTCGGATTTTTGACATGACAGGTTTACTCCTGTCGAAGACATGCATAATGTTATATTATTCTATAATATTATATATAATAACATAACATGAGAGGAAAAGTAAAAAAAATCAATTTTAATAAGAAAAGAAAAGGAAAAAAAACTTATCGTTTACGATGTCCAAACAAATAATCAACAATCAATAATACTCAAAATAATTACTGCTATATCTTGGTAGAGCAGTTGGATGAACAGACTGCTCACTCCCTCTTAGGCATCAAATCATGTCCTTTTTCAACAGTCTATCCCTCAAACTTGAGTATAAAATAAAATTGGGTATAATATAATTCAGCAATTGCTAAGAATGAACCCGTATTCTTTCACGCCGGGTTAATATTTTCTTTTGTTCTTTCAAACTTTTTGTAGACGTCAAGCAATCTGAGGACTTGATCACAGATTCATTCGTAGAAATCTGAAAAAAAAAAATACAATTAACATAAATGATCAAACACTGGAAATTCTGTTATATACTGAAAAAAATTTAAAAAAGCAAAAGAAGAAAGAAAGAAAAAAACTAACTGCCATCGAATTTTGCGAAATACAGGAATGCTTCCCAATAATATTAGTTCCACATATAACTTTTGCATCTGAGGAATGAGATACGATTTCCACAAAAGATCTGAATTATGAACAAAATGGGTAAATATACTGGCTGAAAGCACAAGAAGATAAAACAACGTAAAACAGGAATCAAAGGCAAGCTGAAAATTTAAACAAAATTATGGCTATTAAATAAGATCAAAAGGTAGAAATAACTGGAACTGGATTAAACAAGATTTAAAAAAAACACTGATTCAACAATCATGAATCATTCACTTTACCTCGAACGAGGAACCACAGATTTTGTATTTTTGTAATCCGAAATCATACCAAATTGCAGATCTACTTCTGATCTTGCAACTCTTTGTTTAAGTAAACCTATTTTCGAATCATTTGCAGAATATAAATGATCGGATGATTCATAATCAATTCCACTAAGACTTGAAAAAATCTCAGAATAAGGAAATAGCAAATGCGGCATACTTCGACTTCGCAGTTGACCTACGTAATTGAAACTATATTTTAAAAAAGACGGAAAATATAAAAAATATAAAAAATATAAAAAAGAAAAAATGAAAATATAAAAAAAAATAAAACAAAATAGAGAAATGAAAAAAGCAATAAAATTTCCAACCCAAGATTTCCAGACAATAAAAATTTTCTGTGATAAACTAAAGCATCACCTTGTCGCTTTCGTATTCTTGAGCCATTCTCACTTTTTTTCTGTCCATCATCGAACAGAAATGGAGTTTCAATGATATCAGTAATTTCATCAACAATTAATACTTCTCCATCTAAATTAGTAATTAATAATAGTACAGTAATAAATTAGCAATAGTAATGTATTCAATATTCAATATAGAAAAGATAAAGAAGGAAATCAAAAAAAGATAGAGATGACAGAATTCTCATGGCATTTCACTGTTACCTTCATTATTGATATCCTTTGAATTATCGTACACTGTTCGTTGAACAAGCACATTCAAATCACCTAATGTCCCACAAAGAAGTTTTCCAAGTTGACGTTCATTTCGAATGGGAACGTTATTAATCGCAAGCACAATATCACCTTGAAGTATATTCAAGTTACCTTGAATAATTGAATATATAATTGAATCGCAGAGTGAAATATCAAATTATTCAGAAAATATTGCAATGATTAGCAACCTATTTTGAAGCCGCATTTTTCAGCGGCCGATTTCGTTGCGACTGATGCAATTCGAACTGACTGGAAACCAGAAACAGAAACTGACTGAAATATTCATCCATTATTTGATATATATATATACGATTAAAAAGAAAAATTAAACATAAAAATATAAAAATTAGCAACTTTTTCGAAAGTTAATCCAACCGGTTCATCCAAATCATTTCTAATATAACTTAGAAGAACAGTAATACTGAAAAGCGAATTCCATGAAGAATAATGTAATGGTTGATGACCTAAATGAAATATTTTACAAATATTTACAAATATTTAGAAAGTAACAAATTTTTTTTCTTTTTAAAGATCCTACGATGCAACGACAGAGTGAAGATGTATCGATATTGATGAAACTATAGAGAATATAGAATGATAAGACAACAGAATCAATTACTGAAAAGTGAATACTGAGCTAGGATGTAATAAATAGAAGGAAAGTAAAGATAAACAAGAGAAAAAGAAAAAGTAGGACGAAAAAATAAGCGCTGTCCAATTAAAAGGCGAGATTCATATACCTAAGGAAACGGTGCAATGAACTTGAGCATTTTCACTTGGAGACAACGAAGTATTTAATCTCGTACATTGAAGAATGGTTACTTCCAACACTCCCATAATTTTAATATGATTATAAGAATCTGAAAAATTTTCTACAGTAAACAGCGAATTAAAGAAAATATACCAGTGATGCGATAAGAAAAATGGATATAACAAATTATTTTTGAAAAAGTGAACCAGTTGGATGGGAAGGAATTAAAATAGGATTGGTAAAGAATGGCCGATAACGTATTTTATAACTTGGCCATATGTGTTTTCGTTGAATAATTCGACGGAACTGTTGAGTAATAAATGGTATCACATGCTTTAACTGCTTGCCTTGCCAGTGTGTTTCAATCTGAATAAGTTAACAGAGCCTTGAAAATACAACTTTATAATAATATAATATAATAATACAAATTAAAATATAACTTTATAATAATATGATATAATACAATATAATAACTTTATAATGTAATTTTATTATAATGTACCTTCATATCTAAAATAGGCATTTCGACAAATGAAATTGTCCAGTGAGTGAATGGTTTTCGCGTCATAGTAAGACGTACTTTTCCAGATAGGCGAGTGACCTATTTAAATACGTATATCTTAAAAAATATAAGACTGGGTAAAATTATTCATATTTCATATTTCTCATTTCAATTTTTGTAAAATGGATTCTACTTTCCTCAGTATGAAATATAAATAAATCCGATTAATCTTTTCTACTGATACCTTAATTGACATCTGAGCAAAACGACGTAATACCATCGCCAAATCGATGGAAGTTTGAAATCCACCGGTGTAATCAACGTCTACCAAAAAATTCAAGGACTAAAAAAACTGAATTTTCAATTTTTTTTTAGAAGCGCTTATCGCAGGTTCACTATGACTTATCGGAATAGACGAATCTTGCCATGAAATCACTTGAGGGTAAAAATACAAGTGAGTAATATTTAAAATTCAAAGATCTTCACAATAACTGCAGAAGATATTTTTAAAAAAACCAAAATTAAGACATGCACACTTAACAGAGAAAAATTACATTAAATCCATCTTCTTCAAACATTTCATAATTTTCAATCCGAATTTTTTTAATGACAGGAAAATGTGATCCAACAGACAAATCTCTGATTCGCACATCCTAAATAATAAATATACGAAAACTCAAAATAAAATTAGAAAAAGAAAAAAAAATTAATAAAAAATGTACAAGCTTTGATTTGAATAAAAAATAAAATATTTTATGCATAAAAATATATTCTTAGTATTTAATATAATAATGGAAACAATAAATCTTACTGAACAATCAAAAAAATATTATTAAGTATATAACAAATAATTGAATTAAAAATCCTTACTTGAATTAATCTACCGGCAGCAGAACGCGTGGTCAAGTCACTTAATTCGAGTTGCAGTCTTTCATAAAGCCATCTGAAGTACGGTGCCACCATAAATAAAAGAGTAAAAATCTACAATCGGACAAACTAGGACTGTTTGACAAATTCACTTTGAAATGGAGGAATAACTGAGTACTTCATATTTATATAGCAGCGATCCCCATTAATCGATGAGAAAACCGACGATGCTACTCACATAACCGAAAAGTGCCACAGGCACAAGAGACCAATAAAATAAAAAAGAATAACTATCATTATAAAGATAAATTAAAAATAACCTTCTGAAAAATCTGGTGTCCTTATGCTCCTGGAAAAGAAAATGAAAAAGAAGGCTTAAACAAAAGCAAGTTTCCCATTTCGAATGAGAATCATCCTCACACGATCCAAGAAATTTCTTTAATTCCTGAAAATAAACAATGTCTTCTGGAGTTTAGAAATTCAAGACCAGAGATTTGCAAAAAAATACTACCATTCGCCATTTTTTTCCGTGTGATTTTTAATCCATTTATTTTGCCGAGGTCAATAATTTAGTAATCCTGCCAGGCCTCCACTTTCCCCACTCGTCAGTTCTGCTCAAATTGGCTCCGCTGGTAATTGGCTTGGAACCCTTTCACCAAAGAGCCACTTACGGTTAGAAGAAAAGGTGGGCTCGCATCGCCGACCGAATTTCCCCCTATTTCCCTCGTCAACGCTGCGCATTCGGCTGAGAGATAGGAAATGCATTAAAAATGGTGGAATTGATGAAAATGTTCATTACTATAAAATAATTAAAATGTAAGAAAAAAAAATAAAAATAAAGCAAACGGGCGGTAATCGCAGCGGTGGAAACTGCTCGACGAATGTTCGCTTATTCGCGCTCTTCTCGAATGGATTTGAAAGGAAAATATAAAAAATTAATAAAATTAGCAAAATTCCAAAAATTACGCCATAGGTGAACGCCAACAACATTCACCACAAAATTGTCATAAACGGTATTACTAAAATGCAGTCTTTCTGTATGTTCAAAGTCGATTTTTCATTTCGTAAAGAAAAATTAAGAAACTGAAAAAATAATTTTGCAGAAATTTTTCTGCTGACATTCACGTGTTGTGGCAGACGAAGATGTTCGTCTTGCGAGTGCAATCGTTGCGCGTATCTGTGGATAGCCTTCTGAGAGGACTATTCCTTCTATTAGAATCATTGCTCATCCTAGCGTGTTGGTACTCAGTTAAGCGCCCGTCCATACTACCCTACCCTTTGTCTCCCATTTCAGATTCAGATTTATTCAGATTTGATTAATTCTTTCAATACTGTTTCACATAAAATGCTCTTCGAATTTGGTATTATTTTTAGTTTATTTAAGCGAACCTTAGATCTTTTCATTTATCATTTAATTCTCCTGGCTAGGCTGATGTCGTCTTTTGTTAAGCCCGAAGCAGATTTCAAAAAGAGTTTTTTTCTTGAAAAATGAATTTCTCTATTATTTTCTTTTTTCCACATTTATCTTTACATTTTCGTAATTGATTATTACAAAATTATGTCATCTGTCTGAACGTGAGTCTGGCGAGGCATCTCTCGAATCGCAGCAAGTCAACTTGAAAACAAACTTCATATCTGTCTTGCTTTAACAATTCTGCTATAGGGTTGCAAAATTTGACCAGTGAGAGTGGAAGATATCAAGAGGCTACATGTGCCTTTAATCACTTGTCTAAACTATAACCTACACACTCCTAACTAGGCAAAGTCTCACACGATTGCATCGAACTTCTCCAACTATCTGCATTAAGAATATCATCACAAAAAATAAAGCGTCATTTGTGCAGGTTTGGCCATGTTCTTCGTTCTCTACTGCACGAATTTAGTCGTCAAAAGTGCGAAGGACCAACAAGGCTTGGAACGATATGGTCGGGGAATATTTTGAACATAGATGTGGCCAAGCGATATATGGGCTCAAGTAGTGGAAAAAAGGTTTAAGTTATTTTCAGGATTGGTATCCTTGGAAGTGTCTTATCTTCGTCGCTAGTGAAGCGAGTCAAACCAATAGTCTACCAGAGGAAAAATAATTCCAAGAAGAGTGATAGAACATAGTGTGGCAACTATCGAGGAACCTGCCAGATATCTCCAGGAAAATTTTCGCTCTCTGCTGAATAGGCTTATGGCAGTACGAGGCAACAGGATGCACCCAAGATTTAAAGCGCTTGTATAAATAAATATGAACGCTAAGAAAGGTTTTGGTATCGGAACGTCGTCTTCAAATATCGAGAACCCAACAGTTTAATCGGTTTTGCAGCTGCCTTTGATTCAATTGATAGAACAGCGTTCTGAAGAAGGATGATGTACGACGATGTTTGAGAGAAGATCATTCGACTCATAAAAGCATTTTATCAGCATACATTGCAGGCATATATGGGGAAATTGATTCTTTCGAAATAACTACTGGTGTCTGTTAGGACTTCTTTCCTCTACCATATTCAACTATATCTCTTCATTTTACATATTAAATGCTGACAAACATCTTTTTTGCTCATAATGGCTTGAGGAAAACCGCAAATGGCCAAGCAAAAGGCAAAATTACATTACATTACGAATAACCGCAATTAGAAATACGTTTTTCGTTTGGCGAAATTTTTATGGAAACTTCGCGAAATCATCCTAAAAATGTAAGTTTGCATCTTTAGCTACGTGTAAAATCCCATATCATTGCATTCGCTCAAGCACTATTCAAAATACGATGATTAGCTATAAAATAATTCTATTCTCGTGAACGGTTGTGTTAGTCATTCTCTCTGTTTTTCATTATTTTATTGTATTTTGCTTCGCTAAACTATAGAAGGAATACATTAATCTTATTACATTCGTCTGAAAGATATTCTTTTCAAAAGTATATTGATCTTATTGTTTTATACCATTCACTTTAAGATAAGAGGAAATTCCAAATGGCACCGAAAAAGGTAGCAGCTTATGGGGCCGTTTCCAATAATGATGTTAGCTGTTTAAATAAAACTATCGAGGATCTGAGGTCACAACTAGCTTCCATTACTGAGAAATATGAAAAACAACAAGATCTAATTGCGCATTTAACTAGATCTGTTGAAATACTTACAAAGGTCAACGAAGAACTTAAGAATGATATTAATAATTTGAAAGCTTCGTCTTTGGGTAACTTCGAGCATTCAAAAATTGAAACTGAAGAAGTATTGGAAACCATTGAAGAATATTTTGAAAAGAAGGAAAAAGAACCATGTCTAGTTGGCATAAACATTCCAGAGAAATCTACGGATGATGAATCTGCTACTGCCGATAGGCTTTTAGCAGAAAACATTGTAGTTGCCGCTGGGTTCAAGGCTGAATTTATTAAGGAAGTTCGTCGTCATGGAAGGAAGGGGACAGCGAGGCCACGAGTACTTAAAATTCGTCTCGAAGATAAGCATATGGCCATGTCTATTTTGCGTAACAAAGATGTGCGCTCGATCGTTCCCTCTGGAAGTTTTTTGCGAAAAGATCTGACGAAAAGAGAATTATTGCTAGATAAACAGCTGCGAAAAGAACGTTATACACGAAATCAAAGTCTGAAAAAGTATATCGTCAGAAATCTTCAAATAGTGGAACTCAGGCAGCCTCACCAATGGATTGCACCGACGAGCAATTTTTTGATTCCATATTCTCATCAGTCTGCAGCAGCCTAGGACAAGTTATCAAGTAAGGTTAATGAAATAGGAGGTAATTTATCTTTATATATTTTTAACGCAAGAAGTTTAAAATATAAACTTTGTGACTTAAGACTCTTGGATTGATAACCCAAACAGTATTTTCTGTATCAATGAAACGTGATTGGATGACTCTATTGATAATCGCGAACTAAACTTTGACGGCTTTATAGTATCACGCAAGGATAGAACAATAAATAGTTCAAATATTCGTGGAGATGGGCTTATCATGCTTATTCCTGATTATTATAAATTTATAACCTTCGATGATTATGTTTGCTCCTCTTTTGAATCTTTGGTAATTAAAATTTATCTTTATAACAGAAATATTTCCCTTTTAAATCCTTATCGCCCATCGGGCTATGGAAGCAAATTCACTAGGGATCTTTACAACTTATTACTCAAATTAAAATTAATTGGTACTGATTATGTAATTGTTGGTGATCTTAATATGCCAAACGTAGATTGGGAAAATAGTTGTTTAAAAAATAGCAATAAATTTGAAGAGGACTTTCTAAACTTTTGTAGGTCTAGAGCAACATGTTAAGGTCGCCTTTAGGTACAACACTATATTAGATATTGTGTTAGCTACCTCTACCTCTCTTGTTGATAGTATTAGAGTCTTGGAATCTTTTTGTAATAGTGATCACAATATCATCCATGCTTCATTAAAATTAGACCGTTATTCACCTCACTCGAAATTTTCTAGAAGTTACCGTCAGTATAATTATGAAATCTTTAACTCTATTCTCGCAGAAATAAACTGGGATTTCTTATTCTGTTTAACTCCCTCTATCGATGAAAAAGTTAATTTTCTTAATAGCATCATTTTATATCTAATAGACCAATATATCCCTTTAAGAAAAACGAACATTAGGTCGATTCTTAGGTCGATTCCTACTTTTCTAAAATCCCTTAAGAAAAGTGTCAGGAAGCTTTATAATAAATATCAATTAACCAAATTGCCAAATGACCTCTCTGCATATAAAGAAAGCTTAAAAAGTTTCCATTCATAATTACTTTTCAAATAAAGAAGAACAAATTTTAAATATTGAAATTCTTTCTGGACCTATATCAAAAGAAAATTTGCAAATCCACGTAAACAATTAATTCTGCAACATAATGATAATGTGATCACCTCTGATATTGATATTGCAAATATATTTAATCAGTATTTTTCTAGTGTGTTTATTGAGGATAATGCTCATACTTCCTGTTTTAACGTAAATCGAATTTGTTGCACTTCTCTCTGCGAGATTGAAATAACACTACTGGATGTTTATGATGCCTTAAATAGGCTTAAGCCGTCCATTTCAGTTGGTCCCGATAACATTTTACAAATAATTTATAAAAAATGCGCAGTCTCTCTGAGTCTTCCCCTATTTTAATTTATAAAGATGTTATGAAGTCTGGCCTTAATCCCAAAATTTAGAAATTGTCCCATATAGTTCCCATTCATAAAAAAGGAAGCACCTATGACGCTTCTAATTACAGACCTATTAGCTTAATATGTGTTGGTAAGGTACTTGAAAGGTTGATCTGCATCAAATTGCTTACTTATCTTGATGCCAATAATTTTATATCTTCTTATCAGCATGGCTTTTGTACAAAAAATCTACTTCTTCACAAATATTGGCTAATTTTTCCAAACAGGGACCCTTTATAACTGGGTGTCAGATTATATAAAAGATCGTCATCAAGCTATGTATGTCGACAACATTTTTTTTGACACAACTCTTGTTAAATCTGGCGTTCCCCAAAGTAGTTGTATTGCGCCATTGCTTTTTCTATTATATATATATATATATATATATATAAACGATATCACCAATGTGGTACTAAATTCTACCATTTATCTTTGTGCTGATGATTGTAAAATTTATTATTTTCATGGTAGATCGGATAGCCTATCTCCATTGCAGGAAGACCTCAACAGAATAGCTGACTGGCTATATGACAGGCAAATTACCTTTTCCTTTCAAAAATGTAGCGTTCTTCACATCAGCTCTAAAAGATTCGATCTTCCTAACCTTTTTGGTAATTTAATCAATAAATGGTAATTTAATCAATAGAGTCTCACATCTCCGATCTTGGAACAATCATGGATGAAAATCTCGATTTCGATCTTCAATGCGGAACCATAATAAAGAAATCCTCAAGGATACTAAATTTTATTTTTCGTTCGTTTAAGAACAAAACTGAAAGTTTTCTTATCAAATTATACAAAGCATTCGTTCGGCCTCTTCTTGACTACAATACTATATGTTACTCCCCTAGACATCGCAAAACAGGTAAAATAATTGAAGAACTCCAAAAATATTTTCTAAGACACCTCTCTCTTAATAAAAATTTCAATTATAAAAGAACACTTCTACAACATAACATGGATTCTCTCTCAGTTCGTAGAATTAAACAAGATTTAATTTACACATATAAGATTCTGTATGGTTATGTTAAACTAGATTGCTCGAAATATAACTTTAGACTAAATTTGAATCCAACAAAAACTAATGGCTTAAAATTACTAAATGCAAAATTAAACTAAGGACTCATGACTTCTTTATTCGTACTATTAACTACTGGAAAAAATTACCGAACGATGTAGCTTGTGCGTCATCCTTAGCTGTCTTTAAAAAAAGACTAGATAATATCATTTACGATATTATTTAAAAACAAAAAAAATGAGAAGAGAAGAGTTTACACCAGGCAAGAACTGCAGGGAGTGAGAAATCTCGATTTCATCTTCAGGTTATATATGTTACTTCGAATTGTACTATACTATATTGATCTGTAATTTCCTCTTTAAATTGTGTCATATTGTTTTATAATTAATTTTATTTATGTTATATTTTTTTTTTGTGTTTTTTTTTCTGTTATCTTAATTGTTATTATTAATACAAGCACATGGCGTTGTCGCCCTGCTTGGCTGGTTATCAGTAAATAAATAAATTAGCTATATTCTTCGCTACCTTAAGAATTGGCACATATCTCGCTAAACCCTGTGTTAAAAACGCGAAGAATCAAGGCCTTAACTGATATAGCCAGAAGAAATTTTGAAAGTATAGACGGCTCAGCGATATGTGAGCTTAGACGGTACATAAGGACTGATATCTTTTAATATCGGGCATACCGATGAAATGACTCGAAAACGCCTTATCCTTGTAACCAGCTGAGCGAGTCTAACCAGTAATAAAGAGAGATATATGAAGAAAAAGCTTTGTTAAAGTTAAAAATAACTTGGTAGAAAATGCTTTAATTCTCAAACGCGCAAAAAATGTAATGATGCAGAAATTTTACAAATAACAATGGCACAATAGGAATTTAGATTTATTCTCCGACAAGATTAAATCTTTCATAAAAAGCAGGATTAAAAATCCAGGTTATTTATTTATTGGAAACCAGCCAAGCAGGACGATAACGCCATATGCTTGTATCAATGACAACAGTTAAAATAACAAATAATGAAAATTAATAATAAGAAAATAATAAGAAGAAAAAAAAGAAAATATGACAAAAATTAATAATTTAAAGAGAAAATAAAGAGGAAATTACAGAATAATATAGTATAATTCAAAGTTATTAAGTTATTATTCCTGACTACCAGATGCTTCGAAGATTTGCAACGAAAGCAGCACGGCAAGACAGAAATCACTATTGGAGCGACATGGCCTCAAAAATGGAAGCGGCGCCTCGATTAGGCGATAATAAGAAACTATTCCGCCTTCTTCATAAAATAACTATAATTCGGGGGAACGATCAATGAAATAGTAAGCAATGGTGTGTCAGTCGAGAATATTAAGAACGCCTCATAAGATGAAAAGAATTTTTTGAGGCCAAACATAACCATGAAGCTTCATCTGTTGCCCCTGATACAACTGATACGTTCTCTGAACCATATACCTGCAATTGCGAGTCCCCAACAGAAGAAGAAATAATAGCTGTTTTCCATAAGTTTAAGGCCAACAAGACTCCCGGAGAAAATGTTCTTCGGGCTGAACTTTTCAGATGTTATCCATCGTCCTTCATAACGCACCTTCAACAAATGTACTCTCTGGTATGGAAAAAAGAAATATTACCAGATGATTGGAGGAAAACAATTCTGCTCCAAATTCTCAAGAAAGATGATAGGACATACTGCAACAATTATCGAGGAATCAGCCTACTAGACGTCTCACCGAAAATTTTTGCTTCCCTTTTACTCAATAGACTTATGGAAGTACGAGACAGCATGATGCGCCCTAATCAAGCCGGATTCAGACCGGGGCGCTGTTGTGCTGACCAGATATTCACGTTAAGAAGGGTGTTGGAACATCGCTTCAGATATTTGCAACCCAATGTCATCGGCTTTACGACTGCCTTTGATTCAATTGATAGAGCGGCGTTTTGGAGAATGATGGAATGAGACGGTGTTCCAGAGAAGATCATTCGACTCATAGAGGTACGTCTGCGCAGATCTGTGTATATGGAGAACTGATAGACTCCTTCTAAATAAGAATTGCTGTTCGTCAAGGTTGTGTCCTTTCCCTTACAATCCTCAACTATGCGTTAGACTGAATAATGGACAACGTTTGTCGGAACTCAACAGGTGTATCAGTCCGGAGCATCGTATCACAGATCTTAAATAATACGCTAATGATGTAGTCGTTTTTGCTGACAGTTATGATGAAATGCAAATAATACTAAATAACGTGTCAGCAACTGCAGCGAGAATCAGACTAAGGGTCAATGTAAATAAAGCGAAAGTCTTTTCGTCTTATGTACAAGAAGCTGATAAAATGCCTCTTTTTGCAAATTTATTCCCGGTCGAAGAAGTACCCGATTTTAAATTCCTTGGGTTCACTTAATACCAGTTGGCCAGACAAAAGACGATATTATAGCCCGGGTCACGGCATCTAGAAATGCGTTCTTCCGATTGACGAAACCTTTATGGAGCCGTCGTGAAATTGCTATTAAAACAAGAGTACGCATCTATATAGCCG